CGTCGGCCATGGACGGCGCGATCCTGCTCCTCATGCAAGCGGCCTTCTCGGTGCTAACGCTCAACGCGCTCCTCGACTTCCGCGCGGCCGTCAACGGCAACATCCGCGCGATCAAGCTCATCGATGCGGGGTTTGCCCTTAGCATCGCGTTTGTACCGATCGTGATTTTGCGCATCGTGCGGTCGCGCGAGGTCGCGCGCACAGGCGTGACGCTGCTGCTGGATCTGTTTACGCTGCAATATGTCCCGTCGCTCCTCAACGTCGTCGTCAGCGTCGTGCAAGACTACCTGAACCCGGACCAGCTCGACCCACACGAAGCGCCATCCTACCGCCTCTACGCGCTCATCCTGTGCTTTCTCGTGCTCTGGGCGGCCGACTTGGCGACGCTCGTGACCCGCCACGTGTGCCCGACGCGCCCGCCGTGGGTCGCAGTCGCGGCCAGCGCCGTCAGTGCCATGGCCACGGTCGCGCTTTACAGCATACTCGTGGTCCCGACTTCAATCCCGTGTCTGCGCAAGCCGCGCCACTTTGTGCTCGCGATCCTCAGTGCGTTCGTGTACCACATTGGCATTCAGTTTGTGGCCGTGCTGCGCTTCGTGGCGCTGCCATCGAGCGGCCCCGTCCTGCACTCGACGTGGCTCGTGCGTCTCCAGTACATCCTCCTCTTTGGCTTTTGCGCGATGCTGCTCGAGCGTGTCGAGTGGCCGGGCGACTACAGCTACACGTCCGAAGACGTGTCGAACCAGATCCTGCGCATGTGGCAGCGGATCGACAATAGCTCGTACACCGCGTACCTCGAGCGCGAGAGCAAACTCAACTTTATTGCGCGCATCTCCAAGCTCGTGAAAGTGATCCACCTCGTGCCCGACGACCGGCAACTGAAGAACTGGAGCGCGCTCAAGCTCCATCAGCTCGTGACGTACTATGGCGCGCAAGCTCTGAGCAATGCGACATCCACGTAGGTCCTAGACTCGATGTCGTCCTCGTTTCTATATCTAAATGCATCCTTCATCATCCGGCATTGGCTTGGGTTGAGCAACGGGACACACACCTTGTGAGTGATTTGAGTCCCCTTGGTGCTAGAAGAATGATGTAGTGTGTCAGTTGGACGTGGTGCCCAGTGGTAGCCCTAGCCCTGATACCAACCAAGGGTCCATCACTTGTTGATGGACCCTTGTACCGACGACATGCGACGACAGCGGCTTGCGATGCTTCTCGCTACGTACGTGATCGTACTTTTGGATTGCAGTGTGGATAGCGACAGAAGATCGATGCGCGCTCACAGCTCGTCGTGGCTACGACTGTGGAGGATGCGGACGATCGCGTCTTCGATCGAAGCGGGCGACGTTGTCGGTGCGTAGCGCGCATAGGGCTGGCCGTGCGCGAGCAGAAATTTTGAAAAGTTCCACTTGACGTCGTTCGTGATCGAGCCGGCCAAGACGGAGGTGAGGTAGGCAAAGACGGGGTCGGCGTCGTGGCCGTTCACATCGACCTAGTCCATCCCGAGCTGCGCCCATGCCATCGAACGCACCTTTTGGAAGATGGGAAACGTCACGTCGTAGTGGTGCGTCAAGGCGAGGATGTCGCGCATCGAGCCAGGCTCTTGGGCGCCAAACTGGTTGCACGGGAACCCGAGGATCTCGAGGCCTTGGTCGTGGTACTTGGTGTACAGCGCCTAATCGTACGCCCATGTATATATCTCTGGGCGATAGACAGCCTTGATGCAATACCTGCAGCTCGCGGTAGTTGGAGTCGGTCAAGCCGCATGCGCTGGCGACGTTGACCACCAAGATGGCCTTGGAGCCTGCGTAGCGCGAGAGCGGCACGTCAGCGCCGTCGGCGCCCTTGACGACGAAGTCGAAGAAGCTGGTCGGAGGCGCGGCCATGGTGGCGGCGACGAGCCATGCGACGCAGGTCCAGGCGACAGCTGCCATGTGCATCGTACTCTCCAGTCTGTGGTCCGAAGATCCGCCATCGCGTTAAACGACGTCGTAACGTTTGGCGTACGCGTTTTAGTGCGTAAAACGAACCGCCCCGGCTATACACTATTGTACTCGTCCAGAAACGCCATGGAGATTCGGCACGAGATGCTTTTGTACTATGTGTCTGTGCCTGCAGTCCCTTCGACAACACTGGGCTCGTTGGCTCTTTGGCGAGCCAGTCGCGTCATCGTCGGCGGGTTTGGCGTAAAAACCTGTTTAACCGATCTCCATCAGTCTCTGAGAACGCATGCCAACCTGCCACGTATCCGGCGGACCTCTGAAATCTTATGCGCGTGAAAGGGAGCACACTCGGCGATTGACCACACATACGCAGCATGGTACGTCGCTGCATGCGCTTGCCCGCGGACGACGCCATGGAGATGGAGCCGCGGGATGCTGATGATGGATATGAGGATGCATGCTCATGGTACCTGCTGCGTAGGAATTCCCCCACACCAGCCCCGTGCCCGTCGACCTCTACGGCTACCTGGCGGTCTTCCTCAACTTGATCGGGCTCGTCTTCATGGCCGCGTTCTTCACCAAGGGCGTGAGCGCCAACAAGAACATGATCGTCGAGCTCGCGTTCGCGGCCTTGGCCTCGCTCTTCCTCGGGTCGGGCTCGCTCTTTGTCTTCCTCTGGGCCGAAATCTATGTCTAACGCCACGATGCGACGCCAGGGTACACGACTTGAGGCTTATTTACACGGCTTAATTCGACCCTGGCATCAAACTATAATAAACTGTCGTCACAAACTTTTGCTTGTACCTAACGCAGAGGTGAGAGATGCGAGAGAGATGCGAGGCCTACCGCTGGGTGATGCCTAAGACCATCATGCCGTCCTTGATGGCCGTGCAGTAGAGGTGGTTGAGCGCAACGTGCTGGGGCACGGGCAAGAGCCTGCAGTCGACGCTCGGCGGTGCCTGCAACGCCACCTCAGATCGACCAGGCAGCGTGATAAGATATCTACCTTGTTGAGGATGATGTGGCGGAGGTGCGGCGGTAGCGGCGGCGGCTCCTTCGTGTACTCGTCAATGTCGGGAATGAACCGGCCGTAAACGGTCTCGCTGTCGTTCTCGTTCGTCTCCTCAATGTCGACGTCGAGGAGCGCGACAAAGTCCGAGACGTCGACGTAGTTGTTGATGTTGCCATCGACGTCTGCGACGGTCGGCTGGTCCGGTGCGAAGCGCCACTCGTCGTCGACCACAAACTTGTACGCATGCTTTCCTCGCGGCAGGTTGGCAATGTACGTGAAATCATTCCCCGACCGGTGCATGGGGACATGCGTCGTCCAGCCGTTAAAGGTCCCCGTGATGCACACCTACGATATCCATTCTGCATGAGCTTGACACGTCTTCTTGGAGCGAGGTACATTGCGTCCGCCATGTTCCCATCGAAACACCATGGGCACTATGTCGTTGCGGCCTGCGTCCGCTGCGGAATGGTGCGCCTCGCTGGGCGGAATGAAGCGCGGCGAGTTGCTGTCCATGTCCATGTCCGTGTCGCTATGGCGGCCTTGCTCGTTATGCGTCGGGCTGCCATAGTACACGCCGTTTGGGTTGTTGGCAGTGCCAGCCTGCGCGGCCGCGTCCCGCTGCGACCCCATCGCGCCGAGGTCCGCCGGGTTCGAGTCGTGCGCCTTGCTCGAGGTACTCCCCATGATCAGCCGTCGTAAGAGCGAGGTAGATGCGTCTACATGCACATGGCAGCCATGAGCCATCGTCGTCGGCGCCCATGGGCCGCGGTCTTACGTCGGTCGCCGCAGAAGGGAACTAAGATTGAAATAAAAATACGTGCCAGGCGACCGACTTATTTTTATTCCCACTCCATTCCATTGAAATGCCTTTTTAATCGAAAACTAGTCCACTATCTAGTTTTTGACTCGATGCGACGATAATAGGAATATTAATAATGTGAAGAATTCGGCCACGCGAATAAAAATACGTGGAGGATCCATCGCTCCAAAATACTGCCACTTGCGCCAGCGCCTGCTTGGGCCATGCCGAAGGCGATGGGACCGACGATGGCATCGACGACCAAGCAGCCCAAGATGCATGGCCTTGGAAGATCCATGCGAGATGACCAAGGCAATGGCCTTCAACATGGAAACGAGCCAGCGCTTCCTTGAACCGTGGCGTCGACGCGCACGACGCCAAGTATAGTGGCATCCGCTCGACCTCTGACAGGATGCCAATGGCGACGACGCCTCTTGCCCGTGGGACGTGCCCACGCCTCGGCGTCACCTTTCTCGTGAGCGTATGATCATATCTGCGATGTTGGCCGCAGCGAGAAGCAGGGCATGGCGGTGCTCGGCACACAACGCGGCTTGCATCATCCTCATCGGCGTCAACAGTATCGCAGTCAGGCCGAAGCGAATGGCCACGCTGCTTGGCAACATCATGGCCCTACCAAGGCAATCGTGGCTGCCATGTGCCCTCCAGCGCCAAGCGACCAGCTACCATGCTCGCCCTCCGACAGGCAGCATGCGACAGCTGTGAGCGTCGCCTGCATTGTGATGGACTCGCCTGCATTCACCGTCGAGCCCATCCAGGCTGCGCTCGACTCTGGTGCGAGTCTCGGCTAGACCTGCGTCGGTCGAGCGTTATGGACAAGTACTGCATACAGGCGGTGAGAATAACTTATATATATCTTATACGATGGTGCAGAAGGCGAACGAAGAGTTGACAACGAGGCGGAGCTACGGCGACGTGATGTACGTTATACCGGCGTTGGTCAGGCGCGTGTAGAGGTCGTCCGAGTTGACGAGCGACGTGACGTACGACGCGTCGATCCTCTTGTCGTAGTAGGGCGCGAAGGCCCCGCGATGGTACAAGGCAAAGACAGCGCCGACGAAGAGGAGTGCGTCGACGCGGTCGAGGAGGCCGCCGTGGCCAGGAATCAAGGTGCCCGTGTCCTTGACGCCAGCGAGACGCTTGAGGAGACTGGCAAAGAGGTCGCCGTAGCGCGAGAGGAGGCCGCCGACGACCGCAAAGAGGATGCGGTGGATGCGCTGGAGCTCGACGATCTCGGGTGTCAAGTCGAGCGGCAGCTTCATGAGCGCGTCAACGAGCAAGACGGCGCCGACACCGAGGGCGACGCCGCCGAGGCTGCCCTCGACGTCCTTGTTGGGCGAGATGTGCTTGGCGAGCGGATGCAGCCGCTTGTACTTGATGTGCTTGAGAAAGTGGCCCATGACGTACGCGCCCGTGTCGGTGCCCCAGACGACCGCGAGGAAGCCGAGCGCGATGCGATCGGCGCCATCGACCTCAATGAGGAGGTCCGCGATCGGCTGCATGAGCAGCACGATGTAGGCAAAGCCAATGACGTCAAGCAGGATGCGCACGAAGCTCTCGATGGCCGCGGCCGGCGAGACGCGCGTCAAGAGCGGGAGGCGGTTGCCAAAGATGAAGATGAGCGCGAGCCACCGGCCCTTGCTCGTGTTCAGCATGCCGTAGCACTTGTTGTCGTAGTGGAAGCAAAAGTAATGCGTGATCGTCACGAGGCCGTACGCGTACTGCTGGAAGAAGACGTTCAGCATGCAGTGAAAGCTCGGCGTCAGGAGCGCGCTGAACGTCGTGAGCCACGTCGTGAGCGCGACATAGAGCGTGAGGTCGAGGACGAGGAACTCGTCGATGCCGAGATGGCTGTCCTTGTACGACAGGACGTCGACGGCGAGGTGCGTGACGGAGAGCGTCATGCCGGCGGTCAGGAGCGTCGCGAGGATCCCGGCGGCGACGCGCGGGTAGCCGCACGCGATCGGCGAGACGGCACGGCGGACGCCATCAAACGGGCGGATCGCGCACATGCCCGCGCTGTGTACGTCGCCGAGGCAGTCGTCGAGGTACGACGTCGTGAAGCGGTGCGTAATGCGCTCGGCGAGCCACGCATACTCGTAGTTGCAGATCGAGACGACGAACGAGCAGAGGTAGATGGGCGCCGAGCGCGGACCAAGGACGAGGTACACCGTGACCGCAGACCCAAGGAGGATGCCCGAGATGAGGCGCTGGATGAGGTTGCTCGTCTGGAGGAGCGCGACGAGCTTGTACTGCGACGTCGGCGACTTGTGGGGCACAAAGGTCGCGGTCTGCGTCTTGATCTGCGCGGCCTGCATCTCGACCTGCGCGAGGTCGTCCTCGATGTCGGCCGTGAGCTGGCCGCGAACGACCACGTCGTAGTCGGCCCGGACAGTCATGCTGGTTCTGCTTCGGGTGGTTTCTGCGAAATAGACGCAAAAGGCAAACTCGCACAAATCAGACGGCAGCCTGTTTTTGACGTAGCTTGGAGTTTGTATACCAGGGCTACCACACGGGTGCTCGCGCCAGTCGACGCACCGTGGGACTTCAACGCAAACACGAAGACGAGCGCAGGAGCTCTCGGCATCCTCAGCGCCTCGACCGGTACGGGATAAGCATCAACAATTGCTTCGTCGTCGTAGCTCGACAGCGTAGTAGCTTGGTCGATCGTTGGAGCAAGCGTCGTCCAAGCGGGTCGTCGTTGTCGAAAGTGGCACGGCTGGTTCCGACGAGCCAGATCTCCCAACACACAATTATGTCCACGAGGTAGAGGCTCATGATGATGGCGCATCGGAAGTATAATAATGGGTACATGAGATGATTCGTCTGATATGTCGACGACACATTTCGACGCGGCAACTTGTTGGGTGCAGAAAGGCTCGACAATAATCGCATCACCGTGACCTCCATCGGCATCAATGTCGGACGCCTGCAGCTACTCGTTCCAAGGGTACATAAATTCAATTTATGTACCCTTGCTCGTACTATCAAGGGTATATACCGTTGCTCGTATGCAAGCGGCGGGTGTTGGGTGGATAGGGTTGCATTCTCATCATCAGTGTAGTAAATAGGATACTGTGACGACTACGAGAAGCTACCGTCCGTTTTCAGCCGTTTGTCGGCCAGCGCAATGCGCTCAAAGTCGTTCATGCGACTCATTTCCGTGCGCCTCGCAATCGCCTGCTCCCTAGTCGCACGCAAGGTGGGTTCCCGCGTCGTCCTTCGAGGTCCGTACCCCAAATGCGCAGCCGCATCTCGCGGCGCCTTGGCACTGCCACTGGTGCTAGTACTGCTGTTGGAAGCCCTGCAAAACTTATCTTGGCGACGCATCAACATACCGATCGACATACAAAGAGACGGAGGCTCGGCGAAGGCGCGACGCGGCCTCGGGAGCCTTGGTATCCCTACCATGCTCGTCGTGAGCGTGTCGTTTGCAGGTATTAAAGAGCCGACGTCTTGGTGCAGAGGAGGTCCTTGGTCTTGGAGCCGCTACACGTGTCGACACCGTCAGATTCGCGGATGGCAACCGAGCACATGCCTGCGCATGAGCGTTGCAAGCTTTGGCGTCGGGCTGCGACGCATCGGTGGCGGCGACTCCTTCGGTCTACTCGTTCTTGAAGCCTCGATGAGCATGAGTTCCGTGATTGTATTGGTACCCCGGGGTGTCGCTCTCTGTTGTTGCACTCGGTGCATCGCCGGTCGCCAGACTAGACTCCATAGCGTCGTATTTCGAGGTATGGTCATAAACGTAGGCTAGCCGACCTCAACTTTGCTTTCGACTCGTCCTTCAAGAGAGAGCTCCTACAGAACCAAGCGTCAAACATGACACGAATTCAGTAAGAAGTACTTTTCATTGATGGGCAAGAGCTGGTCGGGCGTCATGAGCTTGGGGGCGTCAAGCAGCGACGGCGCTGTCTCTCTACCATTTCTCCTTCAAGTTATGTGTGCATGGTCCACGTCGTACCCTGCAAATTCCTCGACCTTGGAACTACGCACAGAACAAGGTAACGTGTTGATTGCAATCCGGTCGCGTCTACCTTCGCCCATGGCTGCTTGGCTTGCCGTGTGCAGATCTACACCTATTGTAGTCAAGATATAGAAACCGAGAAACTGGCAGCGCACGCGTCATCGACGGGCAGTGTTGCCGCCGCTCTACCATCGAGCGCCTGGTCTTTTCAAGCCTCGTAGCAACGGACGTACGAGGAGGCAACGAGAAGCGAATGGTGGCGTGCGGCGGGCATGTGGCGATGTCTACCACCAATTAAACACTGTATTTTGGCTGGAACGCCAACGTACGGGCGCAAGCGCGACGTGAATTTGACGACGAGGGCATCGACCGCGCTGCTACACGCACGTCGTCGGTACCTCTTCCGTGCATTTGGTCTCTACTTTGTGGAGAAGCGAGGCGGAGACGAACTCTCTGCCGTGGGGAGCGCCGACGTGGACACGCTAGAGACGCATCAATAGAGCAGCATGTTGGTCGCTTCCACACCTCGTCGACAACTTGGTTGTGGCATCGCGGGGACTTTTCGTGAAAAGCCGTCCCTACAAGAGTCGCTTCTTAGCAGTGCGTAGAGCCCGAGGACGTACTTTGGCAAGCTCTCTGGATTCAACTTGGAGCTTTTGGGTTTCTCGCTGCTTGGTAAGCCACCGCTTTCATACAGTCGGTGACGAAGGCATGGTGGTAGTGCTGTACCTCGACGACGACTTGGTGCTGCCAATGTCGCTGCAAAACGCATTTCAAGCGCCCGCGGCAGAGGTGTCACTTCTACCTGTTGCTAGAGAGCGCTGGCATCGCCACGTCAAATCGAACGCTGTGTCGCTTTCTATACCATGCCTAAAACCTCCTGCGTTCAAATCAGGATGTACGTTGGCGTTGTCGCGGTCGACGACGGCCCAGATATCATTGACCTAGGAATGGACAAGACATTTGAGTCAGTGTGCACCGCTTTGGACGTCACGTTGTTCGTGGCGATGTCTCTGCGGGTCGGTCAAGTGTTGCCACGGGTGTCATCACGACGGCGGCTTCGAGATGACGTCGGATCTTGGCGCTGTTGTCTTTGTACTGGGAAAAGTACGACTCGTCTTCGTCCTCGTCCGGGTGCCGCGCCGACGACTTCTTCTTGCTCGTGGACGGCGCCTAAGAACGAAAGGTCAAGCGACGTTTGCTGCATGCACAGCGTACGAGTGGCAATAGAAACGGAAGGTAGTCGCCCAGTGTGATTTCCTAATCCCATGAGGAGATAGATGCTACCTGAGGTCGGTACCTTGACATACAATAGATTTGAGACTGGTGCCGTCGATCGTCTCGAGCGCAATGAGGATGCGCTTGGCCTTGATCGAGTGCAGCGCGGACTTTGGCAGTATCTACGCCAGCTCGTTCATCGCCCACGCTCGAGAAGAACACACGACTTACTTGGCGAAGGAGCAGCTCAAACTGTTCGATGAGACGTCCGACATCGGCGTCCTATATATCAAGAGCGCAGTGTAAGACCCCACGTAGTAAGCACAGCGTGTGTACTGTCTCGAACACTTCGGCCAACGTCGAGAGTCGGCGCTGGGCGAGCCGGGCAGTCGGCTTGTGCCGCAACTACAACGCGTAACCTTGCTTGACACCGCGTCCATTTCTTCAAAGTTGACGCACCGATTGAATCGTTGCTTGAAGCGTTGCAAGGTTGGCTTCGATGTCGGCGATCGCGAGCACCAAGGCCGCATTGGTCGTCACGAGCTCCTTCTTGCCCTCTCGCGTGGTTGGTGTGGCTCGCTAGCCAGATATTCTCCGTCACGGGTAACTTGCTCATGAAGGAGCACCGTTTTAGAAAAGACCGCACCCACGGAGGTCCTCTGGTCAAAGCAGTCGCGCACGAGCTTGGCGTCCGACTTGGCGATGCCTTCGAGGCTCTGGATGATCGCTCGCTTGGTACTCACGTCGGCTTGCAGCTGTTGCGCAAGCGCCTCGGCAGCTTCGAGTTGCTGTGCCAGCGAAAGCGGCTTCTGGGCTGTACCGTCACCACGGGTCAAGAAAGGCCAAGAAAAGAGAAAGCAGTGGGTACGATAAGAGTTGGGAAAGGATATAGAGGTGTTCGCAGCGTGCCGAGTTTGGGTGTTGTGACGGAGATGCTGGTGCGGCGCCTTCGATCACCCGACCTAAAGCACAGCTCGCCTGAGAGGAGCGCGCCGGGCGGATGGGCTCGTACATGACCCTGGCGATAAAAAGTTTTGCTGGTTTTGTACCGGTTACGCCGGCACTTTTTCGTACTGAGCCCGTTTCGGTTTCACGCGCTTCAAAGCGGTACTTCTGCCCACGACGTCGCGCTCGTTTGTACGATTGCCGCTTGGAGATGGTCCAAGCTCGTGGCTGTTGAGCCCCAAAACACCCAGATCACTCGCTGGCTTAGATCGCGAGCTGCTAACAACGTCGTGTACCTCCGTTGGGTCAACAATGCGACGGGACGCTCGACACGACGTTATTGGTCATCCCGACCTTCATCGTTGGCAGCTCTGGCATGAACTTCAACGCGTCGAGCCGAGATAAACAGGTCCCGTGCGGGGTGAGCTGGTAGGAACTTTTGAATATATATGGACGTGTTTCGCGGGATCTTGATGTTACAAAGAGGTTGCATACATAGATACTAGCAATCTCCAACTCCTTCATTCGTTCACCGGGCCGTGGCTGCGCAGGCGGCGGCGCGGGGGCTCGTCTTGCTCTTCTGTAGTCGCCCGGGGGCGCTAGCGGCCGCAGGTGAGGCCCATGACGACACGATGTGTAGAAGCCTTCCAGGCTTTGCCGTTGGCGGCAGAGCTACGCCGTTGGTTGAGGTCCTCGAGAGACGCCAGCGATTGAGGCGGCGTCAACGACTAGAGGTCGCGGTGCAGGACGATGGGCAGCGTGATCTTGGTGCGACCTAAAAAACGGG